TGAAAACACCGAAAACACAAAGTGATGATGGTCTTCTCACCCCCCGGTAAGAGTCTTCAGGTGATTTGTTGTAGTTCCAGACTCTGAATCCAGCGATGGTCTGCGGCTGATTGAAGGTCACAGTGAATGTATGATGTGAACCGGCCATGAACGGAATCAGCCACATGTGTTTGTCATCCGTCGTGATGTTCTCTCCATCAAACAACCTGAGAAGAAGCAGGCATCAATATCTCATTTATGATAAATAACAAACCTGAGATGCTGTGTTCGCTCACTTGTCTAGAGTCCGAAGGTCATTGTTGTATTCTGGAAGGTCATTGAGGTCACGTGGTGAAGCCGTTACCATGGAAACATCTAGAGGGAAACTTTGACCGCCTTTGCCAACAACCTCGAATCCAGTCAGGCCCACATAGTGAGGGTCACCCCATGAGGACAGAAGACTCAACTGCATTACTGCAAACATGATCATTTGATGCGTGGGAAATTGTAATAATAAGTAAAAAAAAATTTTTGTGTAGTTATAGCTGACAAAATCAAGTTTGGGGAAAAATGTAATTGTTTGTTTAATTACATTGGCTTGTAAAAGCCAAAATATTGTTATCCATCTTTTGCTAGGGATAAAAAAGTTTGTCAAGACACGGAACAGGTTTGACTCGTTTTGCTATATTTATTCAGACTGGTATCCCTAAAGAATGTCTGGGAAATTGACCTCCATTTAGAAGAAGGTCTACCTCCATTGACCGTACATGGGGTCAATCTTTGGAAAACTATAACTCAAACCTCTCATGATCTTCAGCCCAGAAGAGCTCAAGGATGCACAAAGTTACACCGTTTTTAAATCTCTTCTTAAAACAAATTTTTAAATCATTTTTACATTTTATTCTTGTATTACTTTTAACCATGGCGTTATTTACCTGAATGTATCTGGTTTTTATTCCATTTACCTCTGTTTTCATGTACTTTTGGGTGATGGTTTGAATTTTTGTTGTCTGTACAGCACTTGGGGAAGTTAGCTTGAAAGGCGATTTATAAAATAAAGTTTATTATCATTACAGTGAACCCTCGCTACTTCGCGGTTCAACTATTGCGGATTCACGGCTTCGCAAATTTTTTCAATTACGTATGATTAGGGTACTGTACATGCATTAAGTGTTCTGTACATTAAAGGGTGGTTTGTTAACAGTACATATGAGGAGAGCTTTATTGTAACTTCCAACTCTATCGTGATGAGTAAAATTCTATACAATTGTACAATACGCACCATAACAATCTTTCTATTTTTTTATGTTCACTTACTGTTCTATTGCTTATCATTTGTGCCTGTGTACTGTATGTACGTATTGTAGATATATCTGTACATTACTGTAAAGGGTGGTTTGTTTTTTGCTTCGAGATACGAAGAAAAATTCGAGATACGAACATTCACAAGCTTGTTCTGCTGTATTTTCCGCCCGACATCATGATGTCACGGTGCGCTTCTGGTTCATGTCACGTTGTGCTTCCAGGTGCTGATACGCTTCAAAACACTTCAACATCTGTAGCCCGAAGTACAGGGCTCTAGACTAACTTTTGCACTGGTTGCACTGGTGCGCCTAAATTTTTTTCTTAGGTGCACCAGCACAAAAGTTAGGTGCACCCAAATTTTCAATTGCATCACATTTAACACCCCATTTTCACAAGTTCACTTTTTTTAGTTATCTATTTTTTTTTAAATCACTGTCCATAGACAATATTGACTTGTAAATGATTAACTAACAACCTGGTCAATACAAAGTTCTTTATTTGAAGCACAATTCCACAAGAAAGGTAACTAAAACTTACTGAAAAGGTGTTTAAAGTGCTTTACTGAGCTGAAATTTAAACTTTAAACTGATTTTGGTTCCTAAGAGCAGCAAATACAAATAAAAACGATAATACCATTTACTACCCAGATCAAGAGTTTATAATGCAGTCTATTTATTTATTTTTTCATTTTTAAGTGTCAGAATATTACGGTTAATGCAGTAACGAGACGGTAGGCATATTATTGACATAGGCTCCATGACATGACATGGCTTACCTTGGGCATGAGCATGCTCGACCTCAATGTGTTCAATAATATATTCATCGGTCTTCCTCTCCGCAAGATACGACTGTACACAATGATGAATTCCTTTGTGGCGATATATGTGTCTCCGTCGATCAGGAATTCCACGTACGCACTGTTCACAATTTGCACAGACGTCTTTTGTTTTCAATGTATCTGCGATGACTCCTATAAATTGGGTGCACGCGACATCATTGCTGTACGTCGGGTTAACGTTCAAGCCATTTTTCTTCATAAGAATTATTTCGGACTTGAATTTAGTGAAGGGTAGTTCTTCTTTTGCAATATTGTAGGCAACGTAAAACTTAATAATCATCTCGGCCTCGTCTGATGATCTGTTTGCAGCTGCCTGCCGCTGTAAAGGTACGTTCACATCGAACGCGGTTCGCGCGGTAAGCGCGGAGGGTTTCCATGTTAAGTCAATGCAAAGACGCGTTTGCGCGCGTCTGAGGCTTCAGCGGCGCGGTAAACGCGAATTGAGCGGCGCGCTTGCCGCGATAGGCGCGTATTGAGCCGCATGAATGGGTGATACGCGTGTTGTGAGCCGCGCGCAGGAGGCGGACCGGCCGTAGACGGAGTTTCGTTTTTTTTCCCCCCTCGAACGACGGGTCGCACCGGTGCAACCTTTGATTTTTTTTAGTCGCACCATTGAGAAATTAGGTCGCATATGCGACCAAATTGGTCGCACTCTAGAGCCCTGTTTATAGTTAATAAGCAGTAAGAGGCATGTGGTTTGCAAAGCTATTAAAAATGGGACCAACCCTTTTTGTGTAGTGGTGTTTGTTTTTTTGGAAACTTCAAATGTAAACATTGACTCCCGGAAATCCCCTACACTGCCTTTAATTAAAAAAAATACACAGGTTATACCCGCTGCTAATAGGTAACATTTTTTTTATCTTCCCACAGAAAGATCAGGGATATTATTACGGCTATGTGTACTTCAGACAAGTGCGAGACAAGTCACTAAAGAGGGGCTACTTTCAGAAGGTAAGGGATTGTTGGCTGCCATCACATTTTGAGTAAATACACAGGTTAAACTAAAATGCTCTTTAAGCCTAGTGATATTTTGAGACATCTTTACTAGTTTTTAGGCCTTCCGAGCCATCTCCAGTACCCTTTTACCCACTCACAATTGCTCTCCAACTCAAGTCCTAGCCATGTATAAAAAAAAGGTAGCTTAAAGGTAAAATGACAAAAATATTTAAACTGCTTTTTTTAACAGTTTGAGGGTTCTTCAATTAGTACTTGGATTTTGCAGAAACTCTTGCAACGGAAATGTGCTTTGAGCGAAGTTCAACCTGAACAAGTCCCAACACAGCACGAGCATCTCCAGTTTGATTTTCCACAGCCAACGTGTGATTCTGAGTCTTCACACCCCTTAAATAGAGGCAGGGAACTCTGGAGGTCTTCTTTTGAACATAGTAATTCAACAGCGTTGCTTTTCAGGAGACACCATTCTCAAATTGGGATTGGTAGATTGCGATTAAATCTGTTTTCTGACATATCTTAACAAACCCAGCAGGTTTTTTTTGTTCTATATGTTATTTTGAGTGATTTATTCGGTAGATTATTATTTTTTCTCTCGTCATTCTAAAGGAAATTCATATCTTAGAAAAAAATGTTCTGCAGCATTTATAAAAATTACTTCCATTGGATTTAACGATTTTGAACAATAAATAACAAAATAAGATTTTGTTATTGAAATATAAACCATTAAAAAACTAGTATTTCCATTATTTGTGTTGTAGAATATGATGTAGTAAATATGATGAGCCCTGTTTGTGTGTTGAGGATTTTGTGTTTGTGTGTCTCCTTCAGTCACTGGTCCTCATCAGCAGGCTCCCTTATGTGACTTTTTTCCACTCTCTTCTGAAGCTTATTGCTCCAGAGTATTTTGAGAAGCAGGAGCCGTGTTTGGAGGCAGGTTAGTCCCTCTACATAGAAATCAATTCACCTCTGCAAACGTGTCACAGTGCCAAGCACTGATTGGTTCTTATGTTCATCAAAGTTCCTAATATTCCTCGTCTGCCATTGAAGTTTACGGCAGCCTTTGGAGCCTTTTGCTGGAAAATTATGAAATTTGGCACAAATAACCCCAATCAAACTCTCTAGCTCCACCGCTAATCCAAATATTCAGTTGTGTTAATGCTAATAACTTAATTTAAAGGAGAAAGTTTGGGGCATTTTGCTTTTATTTTGAATGAACAGGATGGTATCGCAACATGAAGGGGAGGGTTGGGGAAATTCCACTACACCACAGGCCTGGAAGTTAATACTTTTGCAACAGTTTTGTCTAGAAAAACGTTTTGTTTTTTTTGTATCTGATACACTGGCTCAGGCCATTTGAGGCCTTCTCTGATGTAATTTCCCATTATGGAAATTAACAAGCATTTTGAGTAACTTGAAAAACCTACTTTTTCAAACTCATCCTACATAGTTCATCAGATTTCCATAAAAAATGTTCCAGATCAACATCTGACCATGCTTACCAAAAGCCATTTTGATGCAACTAATGAGTTCGCAATAAGTAGCAAACAATCACAGTTTAAAGCTCATAAAAATGTTTGTAAGGCTACATCTCCGCAACACTTTAATGTATTGACGTCAAACTTGGTATGTCTTTTAAGAACCCTTATCTGAGGTAGACAGCAAAGTTTCACAACAGTGCAACCTAATGGTCATGAGATATGAAATTGTTTCTTCCCAATTTCATAACTGTTTGCGATTCCTCAAATGTAAAAATTTGTGTTTATTTGCCAAAGCTTCTTTACAAAACACGCAATCTTAATTTGTCACCGTTCCCAGGAGAGAATAAAAAACTTTTTGTGGTCAGAATTAATGAATTTTAGAAAGTTGTAAAAAATATAATTTACATTTATGCATTTGGCAGACGCTTTTATCTAAAGCTTATCCCTGCTTTCCCTGGGATATGAACCCATGATCTTTGCGCTGTTCGCGTAAGGCTCTACCAACTGAGCCACAGGAAAGCATAGGTTTAGCCTTCAGTCAAATTTGACTTAGATTGTTTTCCCTGGAACATTTTTTTTCTATGATTGTCTAACCTTTTACCAACTACTGAAATTTTTATCAGTATAATTTTGATTCATCAAAGGTTATCACAAAAACATTTAAAAAGTTCCTAATGTAAGGCTCATTAAAATGCTCGTTAAAAATTTGAAGATGTTCCAAATTTAGTGAATTGACAAAAAAGATGGTGTATATTATTATTGTTATTATTATTACTACTATAGCCATGAGCTGTTTTTGGTTGCACAGGTTCCAGGACTGTGTCTCCTAGTGGTTAGGAGGTAATGAAAATGGCTTTTGTGTCCATTTGTTTGTCCTAAAATTATAAAATTTGACCTTCATGATGAGTCAAACCATGTCCAGTAAACCCATCTCTTTCATTGTGGGTTTTGACAAAAATGAGCATGTCTCTATGCACTTTAATACAAAATTGTATGTCTCTGTGCCCTTTCTGCTAGTATTTGGAAGATGTATTACATTATAAAATGCTTAATAACTTTTTTCTAAATCTATGTGATACAGATACCAAACTTTGATATGGTGACCAGACCACTACAATTTGGACGCACCCAGTGCTAAATGTTTTTAAATGCTTTTAATCAAAATCCCTTTTTTCGTTTACTATTTATGACTCTGCTGAAAATGCCTTCTTGTTTCCCTTAGGTCCTTAATCTTTGTTTTTCCAATGGCTGATTGACCCTGTGTCATTTTAATCTATGTATGCTTTCATATAACAGCATGTAACGACATCGATCGGTGGCCCTCACCGTGTCCAGGAAAGATCCTCTCACTTCCCATTATGGGAGTGATTATGAAGGTAACGCCCTTCTCAGTGTTTTTATTTTGTTTTAAACGCCAAGAGCTTTTTATTGAAGCACATTTTTCTGCTTCTCAGCTCCGCATCCCTACCTGTTACGACAAGCCTGGCACTTCTCAGCTCGTCCACACTGCACCAGTAAGTGATCATAAAATCAAGATGTTAGTCCTTATTCTGATGGTCTGGTGACCTGTCCAAAAGTACATGCTTTAATGTAAACAGAGAGTCGCTTTGCTAGCAGACAGTGTTGCATCACAAGGTGTCAGCCAATCAGAACAGGGGGTTTCAGCAACATCACAAGGCAGCAGCCAATCAGGGTTGATTTCTGCATCCCAATCCATAGGGACACAGAAAACTATAAAAAGCCTTGAATCACTTGATTATCCAAACGATGGATGATGCAGGTTGCCAGATCTTTATAAAAGACAAACTCTTACTGACCCCCTTGTGATCCCTCGTTCTCAGAGCGACAGCCTGGTGTCCATCATTCTGCCAACAGTCCATGAAGTCGATCTCTTCAGGTGAAGCTTCACTCTTGTTTTTCCGGAACATTGTGTGCTTTATTTTGAAGTGAGATTTCGAATAATTAGTCGTCTGGAGCCTCCTGTTGGTGGATGAGAGAAGTGCATTTTCAATGACATGAAAATGAATCAAGAGTTCAGTAGAGTTGGATTTAGTTAATAAACAGATAACAGAAATGGAATATTTTAAGTTTATGTACATTACAAGTATACAATTTGCTTGATTAAAACCAATTTGTTTTATTATTTTCAGCCTATTTTTCTCAAACTCAACTCAAAACTGTGCATTTTTTTGCTTCAATTGTTTCTTATTTCTGTATTTCTTCACCCCATTTTTATGCAGGTGTTTCCATCCAGTGTTTTTTCATATCCAGATGTTGTGGGAGCTGGTATTGCTAGGAGAAGCTCTGGTGGTCATGGCACCATCTCCGGCTGAGTCCTCAGACACTGTGTTGGCATTGGTCAGGTATGGCGGAAAACTAACAAACTGTTTTTTTGGCAAATGTAAACAAATAAATATAACATATAATCATGTGATATTGCTTCTGATGATTAAAAATATGTGTATATATTTTTCTTCTTTGATTGCTGAGGATTGAGCACAGCAACAAGACACAGAGTAGTTATACTGGATCAACAAGGGATCTTTCAGACAAGTGACCAAGCGATTAAAATTGCATTTAGTGAAAAAAATACATACCGGTAAATTAAACAGAATTTTTTTTATTTGTTTGAGGGTCTGTTTCTGTGTATTGTTGCTGTAAATGGTGAATAGCTGGCAATAAACATGAAAAACCCACTGATATTGATGTGATCTCTCTCTCTCTCTGCAGTTGTATCGCTCCTCTGCGGTACTGCAGTGATTTCCGGCCGTATTTTACCATTCATGACAGTGAGTTTAAGGAATACACCACCCGAACCCAAGCTCCGTAAGTTTTATTTGAAAAAGATTATTTACAGACCATAGTTTTTTCACATTTGTGTTGATTGTGGTACAATTCATTTGCATATACAGTGGTACCCCGAGATACAAATGCTTTGAGTTACGAATGTTCGAGATATGAAAGGTCTCGCGGGAAATATTTTGCTTCGAGATACGAAAAAAATTCCAGGTTAAGAACATAACCAACAGTTCTGCTCTATTATCCGCTTTTTACGTCTGACGTCGTGCTGCGCTTCCCACCCTGGGATTATTTTCGTATCTCGGGGTATCACTGTATTTGCCTTTGATCTACAACTGTGTGCATTTCTGGAGCTCAGACAGGAGGAAAAATATGTGCCCTCTGTTAAGCTCTGAACGTCTCTGTGTATGTTTCGCTGCAGGCCTTCCGTCATTTTAGGCGTCACAAACCCATTTTTTGCCAAAACTCTTCAACACTGGCCGCACATCATCCGCATCGGAGACATGAAGCAACCAGGTTTGAAGCTGTACTGTTAGATATTCATTGAAGCACTTTGTTTTATTGTTCATCATTAGCAATACACTTTTATTTTATTTTATTAAATTATCAAAACTTATTAATACAACTTTGGTTTATTTAATTTTACTGTTGCATTTTTATCACTTTAGATCTAATAGTTTTTTATTTATTTCGAATTTTTATGTATTTATTTCAAATCGAAGCATTTTATTGTTTCAAAAATAGTTGTTTTATGCTCTCAGAAATAGAAAATACTGTGTCTACTCCTGTAATAGAAAATGTTTATAGTTCTCTTTTTTTAGTTGAATTATGTACATAACAGGAAATGCCTCAACAACAGGAAATACATCACAAATCAGAAGTGACGAACCCCTTTGTATAAAAGTGTGTGTCGCTCATTCCCCCTCCATCTGTTCCCCTCCTCTTTTCCCTCTTGCAAGGCCATGTGCCTCTAAATGTATCATGTCTACATGTTTTAGTTAAATAAACCGTCATTTTTCTGTTAAATCTTCTAAAACTCTTGCTTCATAGTCTTCCTAATTGTTTTAGAATGCATATTCTCTTAAAGCCCAATTTAAAAATGAATTTTACTCCACTCCATTGTACTTAAAACAAGGGATACAGGGAAAGGGCTGAAAATATACAGCTATGAATTTGGGCACCCCATCAGACAAATGGTTCATATTTAATATACATAAATATTTACAAGTAAACAATACTTTGACGTTCCATGCGCTAGTCTGTTTTGTCCTTTAGTTCCTGGTCACAAATTATTAATTTGTTAGTGGTAGACTAGCTATTGATCATCTGGAAAGCATTAACACGATTAATAATTAGGTTTTACACATTATTTGTTTCAGCAATTTCTCTTTAAACAAAGTAGCTCTAGTTTAATGCTATAAACCCTGGTTTTATTCTGACTTTTATTATTGATGTGTCCTTAAGAGAACATGTGTTTATTTTTTTTTTTTTAATTGATCACCTGGAAAGTAGAGAAATACATTTATTCTATGTTTTTAGTATTTTTAGTTAATTTTTTTTCCTACTTTTTACTAGTACCTGAGTTTATTTTTCTGAACTACATTAATATTAGCTATTTATTAAATATAGTTCTATATTTTAACTATATACAGATACAAAATTGCGAATAAATGAGATTCTTAACTCTATTTGAATGATAATTCATTTGTTCATGTGATGCAATCTCTGTTTTAAAGGAGAGATGGCTAAACAAATGAAAGTAAAGAAGCTGAAAAATCTAAAAACCTTGGACTCAAAACCTGGTAAGTGTTGAAACTGTTTTTCTTTTTTTTATTTATATATCTGAGTTAAATTCGAGTCTCGAAATCGTTATTCGTGTTTCTTCAGGAGTCTACACAGCCTACAAACCTTTCCTGAACAAAGACGAGGACATCATCAAGCAACTCCAGAAGGTCGGAAACTAGTTCAGCAGAAATATTCAATCACGTGTGAAATTCACTATTTTCATGTTTTACATCAGGGAGTCCAGCAGAAGCGTCCCTCGGCTGCCCAGAACGCAATTCTGCGTCGATACTTCCTGGAGCTAACCCAGAGTTTTATCATACCCCTGGTAGGAATGTTTAAATACAAGTGTATTCAGTGTATCGAATCTATCATAAATATCTTAATTTGTCACTGATAGAGGGCCCACCACACATCGGCTTGATGACATATAGTTATCGGTTTATGCAAATAGAGCAGTCTCAATATTATCTCTAAAGTTCACATTAGCACAAATTCGTAGTAAAATTGGTGAATTATCAAATGCAACTAATTACATTTTTGATCTGGTAAATGTGCTATGCATTTATTAACTCGAGCATATTGATTGCTTCTAGATGGTAAATTTATGCAGTTTTAGATTATTTTATTGGTGCTTAATACCAGAAAGCTAATACCATTCCTGGACTGTCACCATCTTGCTGGTTTCAGTTCCAATCTGCTTCACCGTTTATACCATTAGCTCTAAACAAGCCAAAAGAACCATAAATTATTTTGATCATGTGTTTTAATTTAAAGTTGCCGCTGAGACTCCATCCACACATATCCAGTTTGAAAGTGGTTACTATTCATCCACATGTAAACGCAGTAACCATGCATTGCTGTGTGGATAGCGAATACTGGGGTTTTTTTGGGAATATTGGAACTGAGGTTTGTCACTGTTATCACGCCCTGCGTCATT